ATATCAGTTAAATAATCAAATGATTGCAAGGAAATTTATAACGTGAAAACAAAGTCCTGGTACAAGCAGTTAATTTCGCTCAGTCTGCTTTTTACAACAAAAAGTTCATCATTTAATCACAAGATAATTAAAGAGACAAAACACACATAACGTTTACTTGGTTACTTCTCTCATTCTTCTTAATAAATCGAAAGTATCAAGTTATTATTATTTGAATATTTCTAAAATCTGCTTTGAAGATGTACGCTCACTGTACATCAGTACAATACGACGAATATTTGAGTGCTAAAAAAGACAACTGATGAAAGTAAGTCGTCGTCAATGAGGGTCAATGTAAAAATCGTGCAAAACAACTTTTTAAGGATAAATGACAGTTGTGAGAACTTGATTAAATGATCGATGCTCTAGCTATTTGATGGGTTGATCGATTAATAACTGCCAATCGATCACCATCCAAACCATCCAATCAAAATGGATCCACCCCGAATCACAAAGAAGGGTGTATTAGTTTTGGAGAATCATGCGGAGTACAAGAAGGTGATTCGGAAGACCATGTATTGGTATTATCTTGGTTCACTACTCTCCGATGAGGAGGAACTTTGCAGAGCGCAAGTGGTGCTCCTCCACCACCGCAGGTACCTCTTGCCAAAAAGGCCTGTTCTTTCTGTCGCTTCTTCTCCTTCATACGTCGATTTTGAAACCAAATTTTCACCTGAAAACCGAAATTTACACCAGTAATGTACATACATAACCGCTTTTCAATTTCCTTTTGTCTTTATCTAGTTTTCTAATTAGAACCCATTAGAACAGTCTCATGCACATGTATATTAAAATAACTTCTGAATTTACGCCAACACCACTTATGTTATTGATAAGATTCAATCACAGATTGTTTTTTCCATTTGCATATAATGATCACACACAAAACTCAATTGTGCACAATGCAATTATTATTTCTCTCATTGATGCACGAAGTTTCCTTGGCCATTACTTATGACAAAGAATTCTTGAAATTCATCCATATGGACGAAATTTGAAAATTTTAGAGCAACTAAAAATGATTAAATAGTGAAATTTAGTACTTTTCAGAGGAATTGAGATGAGGTAGACTTAGTACTGAAAGCATGCATGTTTATATATAATTTTTCACAGAGCGTTTGTACTTGAAGAGATGTTGGTATCTTAATGATTGCATTGGAATACTATTTTGAAGGGTAAGGTTGACACATCTACTGCACAAAAATTAATTTGTCAGCCAAAGGGTAAGCTAACATATCAACTTCTTTCTAAATCTTGCAAAATGCAAACATAAAAAATCAAAGCATCTGACGTTTATTCATTAATTTAGAGTAAAGTTACTTTGCATGTCTGATTTTACATGCATGACAGCTTTTGATGGAGTGGAAATTGCTAGAATGCTGATGAGATCATACTGTGAATGCGCTGATGCATAAAATAAATTTGCTATTTTTGATGCTGCATTTGATTGGTGAGAAATATAGACGAAAAAATTGATAAATTGACACAGGAGATTCAAAATTATCCATAACAGTTGCAAGTAATTCGACGCATAGCTCAAAAATAAATCAGAATGTGCATGAGAAGACGGTTGGAAAACGGATAGTCGTGATCTTGTAATTCACCTTCATGAATCATTAGGATAAGATACAGTACGATAATTTGGGTTGAGCGATTCTATCAAAGAGTTTTTTGCTACTACTTCTGTTCAACTTGTTCAGATAATTATTCACAAAATTTATTGTACAAAATACGTTAAATAAAGCGTACGAAGTTTTTAACAATATTTCTGTACTTCTCAAAAGCATTATAAAAATTGGGGAGAATATGTACAAAACGATAGATCTAGAGCAAAAAATTTTTTCACAACTGTCCAGCTTTTAGAGATAAAGTTTGAGTTGCTGATTACTATAAATAAGTTGCTTACTGCAAACTGTTAAGAATATTAGCAGCTTACTCTTTGAATAACATAATCACTTCGAACGTTTGTAAAAAAAGCTTAAACATCAGTAGATTATTAGGATCTTCTAGAACACGTACAATGAAGAAAGTAATCAAACTTCAGCATCGAAAAAACGTACAAGGTTACTAAATGTCTAGCTTGAAATGATTTCAAGTTAATTTTAAGTCTCTTATTAAATGGAATGAAAATAAAAATAAAGAACGGCAAATTTATCTGAATATTTGCAAAATTAAGCGATGAGATATATCGTCATTTATCTGGTCCTTGTTTCCACATGCAATTAAACTAACCATCTATCACTAAAAATCTCTGGTATCACTTTATTAACCAACTTGTCTGTTGTTTTCACTCAAACAGTATTAAAGAAATATTTTACAACTACGAAAATTGATTTTGACAAGGTCTGACAAGTTTAATGCTGCTTGTTTGTACCCACCAAAAATTGATTGGCACAATTTTTTCAAAGGCGTTGAACAAAGATGACATCACCGCACCAGTATTGGATGTAAAAATATTCTATTAGCGAAATTCTCAGCGACTAATAATTTTTTACAATATTTGCAACTTAAAAAACAAATTTCACAGCAATAAGTATTAACTTTGGATTGTTACTATCCTGATAGGTAAGTATTCGCTATTAATTTAAAAATACAAATCTGAGAGTGACAATAATGCTCGATGTATACTCATCAAATCTTTTTCATTTTTAGAAAGCTGACGGCTGTCAATGACAAAAGGATTAAACAAGTTGCATTAATTTGGAGTGTACAAGAAACTATCTGCATAGCTCTTTCATAAAAGCCAGTTTTTTTTTCTTTTTTTTGCAGTTTGATCTCTAAAAATAATGAGAAGTAACTTCAAGCATCTCTTTATCAGCATAACTTGTTTGCAATCAAAATTTTAGAGCTTATAAACAACTATCAGACTATGATTGCCGAATATTCTGAAAAAAAAATATTTACCTACTGAACCAAATAGTACAACAATTACTTCAAAGGTCGAATGCAATTCAGGCAATAAATTAATTGAAAAAATGTTTCGGAAATATCTCCTAAATGATTTATTAATAACTCAGATGTTGGTTGAAAAATAATAAATACTTGGGTTTCGTTGAGCTGCAAAATTGATGCGATTTCTGCTCGTCTGGTCCGATTCAAATATTTAGAAGTATAATACTCCTTCTCCAATTCCGTAAGTTGATGAGTGGTAAAATTGGTCCGAATAGCGTTTGTATCCTCAATTATAGGTCGTTTGGGAACTAAATGCAAAAAGCTGATAAAACTATCCAATGCCCCAAATTTAATAAAAATTATGTTCCGCGAAACAGTTAAGTTTCATCATAATTTCACTTCATACTACCAGCACTATTCTCTATTCCCAAATTTTCGAATAAAAGATGTTCACTTGAAATTTTGCATGTAAGGAAAAGACCATTTCTTATGACTACGTATTTTCAAATCTTTCTCGTAATTTGTGAGAATCTTAGCAAAATGGAGTATGCAACTGTATTTCTAATTCACTTTGACCATAGTTATGCTTACAGTAATTTTGGGCTAAGAAAAAGAGTGGTTGATAACACAAACTATTAAAAACTGCGGTGTTAAATATATGTTACCATTTTACTACTTCACTTAAAAAAGAGAAAGAGCAAATTACAGCAGCACTTTTAAAATTTTCTTCCGTGACTTAATTTGCCAAAATCGAGAGAAAAACAACTTATCTTCAACAGCAGAAGTAAACTTCTGATAAGCAATTGAAAGATGCACACCTGAAAGTTTAGCAGCTGCTCGTTTTGTATGCATCCATTTATAGGTATTAGTGGTAGGTGTAGCAAGGGAAGTTGCCGCTATTGTAGCAGTTGTGCCAGTACCAGCAACAGAAGTCACTGAAACATGTGGATGCTGTTGAATTGCTTGAGTGTCAGGCTGCTGAGTTTGAGCATAGCTAGTGGCAGTGACCCACTGATGATGTGAAGTGCAAGGAGGTGCCTTATGGCCCGTGTAAGATGAACTTGGCGGTGGATGATAAATAGATCCTCCACTTGATACATAGTTATTATCACTTGCGGAAGGAATCGAAGAAGTTGATGAAGACCACTCATTGTAATGCGCATGATGATTAGGTCCGGATGAACCCATATATGACTCGGTACAACTCATCCGGTGTCCTATCTATATCTTTTAAATGACCTGAAAAATAATCACTGACTTTTACTTATTCACAATAAAAGTAAAAACTATCAAGGAGTTAACTCATGATAGGGAGATTGTTAACACGGGATAGACACTTTCCCTTTGAATAAAGATGCTCACATAATTGATCTTGTAGATTCAGATTATAAGTAGGTTCGAGAGCTGGGTTCGGGTGTCAGACAAAGAGCAGTGGTTGTGATATGAAAAGTCGTAAATTATGAGAGAAAAGATTTATGGATAACCCGCAGGGCGCTCCAACGTTGTTGCATTGAAGAAAATATGAAAGGAATATAGGAAGAAAAGTGAGTGAATGAGTGAGTGAGTAGATGTGCTGCCGTGCACGTTGGATCTTACTGCAATAAATCACACTGCACAGAAGCCAGTAGAAAGGCGGAGTGTGAGAGTCTTGTCTGTGTCGAAGGTGGGCTTTCATTTCAATAATAACCAATCATCTAAGTAGTCAACTACGGTGGCTCACTTCTGTTTGCTAATTTTATATTGTCTCTATGCCGTAATGTCTTCAGTGAGTGTTATTATCAAGTACAGATTTGTATCAGTTCAGGCAAACGTACGTATATGCCGTGTAAATATGTTACAATGAGCGAACTTTGTGCAATAAATATACAAACAAATCGAGTTGACCGATGAATTTCGTAAAAATAACATAAATCAAAGTGGTTAATCAGCAAAATGGTGCCCGAGGAGCGATTTGTTGTACTTTGTTTCGTTGCCAACGCTCCTTTTAATTAATTTCTCCTTTGTCACACATACATATACACGCAAAAATCATCTTGCATCAGCTGCTGTTTTCAAATAGTCTCAGCATAAAAGTACACAAACGCATACACACTCACCAGCACATTTTGGGTTTACGCAGCGTCATCCACCTGCGTTTAGCCACTGAATTATTCGCTATTCTGCAGTCATTTCCTATTTTTTTCACTCTTTAAAATTTTTCACTGCAGTTTTTTTCATTCTTTCTAATTTTCGTATATAGTTGCTTCTGAAAGTGCTTGATGTTTGCTTCCTTGAAAAAGTTCAAGTAATTCAGCACTGATATGGATAATTAAGGTTAATTGGTTTTTTAATGCTTGTTTAGCACTACTCTACATTCATTTCTGATGCTTTCAGCATTAAAGGAAACTTTATTAGAGCCCTGTAATAACTACTAAGTGAACTGTCTCGACTCCTTAATATATTATACGGGGAAATTGTGACTAAACGCTCCAAAATATTCATAATTTATGGTTTGTGTGTATGTGTGTTTTTTTTAATTTAGTGAATTGAGAGTGAGCTCATTATTTAAAGTTTTGTTCTGTGATGCTAAATTATATTACTCTCACTTCCTGAAACTGTGCAGTAATTCAGGTCATGGAATCTTTACTTGTCTACAAGTTATTCTTTTATGAATTAAAATGACTATGAATTGTTACTTAGGTAAACGGCATTTTTCATATCAGATCGATTATTTACCATTTTAAAGCATATAATGCATGATATAGGTCACTTACTACACCTATTTATGCACTCTGATTACCATTATCATTTCTGAATTCAAGTGTAGCAGTACGAATGCACGTTTGACACTACGAGAGAAATGATAGTTATTATCAGTGTATAAAAACGTTTCTTATTGAAATGTCAAAGTAAATGTGAAAATTAGCACGACAATTGCGAAAACTGAAACTTATTCGAGGGAAATGTTTAGAATTTGACTAATTCTCATCAAAATCTGTTCACATTGAGAAATAAACAAGATGGTATGGCACATGAAATGATATATTTTAGCAACTATATTGGCCTCTATCAAACTTAAAGTTTGAGACTGTTAGTCGTAATCTATCAATTGTCAATATTGATAAACTAAGTTTTGCTTCTGCTCGTCAAAATCATCACAAGCTCACTTATAGCTCTCCATTTTTATGAATACCAAGCAGACGTAATTAATTAAAGCTAGTCTGGTCTTAACTAATGTTAGCACAAATTTAATTTCTTGCTAGTTAACAAGTAATGTTCCTCATGAAAGAAATTCGTGCAGAATTCACATGTCTTGAGAGTTTTATTATTTGCTAGCTACACTGCAGCTTTCTGCAAACGTAAGGAATTGAAAGTATTAATAAAATAGGATGTAATGCCAGTAATACCGCATACAAGTGCAGTTCATGTCAAGTGTCACTTTCAAGATTCAAAGCATTAGTAAATAATTCAAAAAATGTGTCGCAATTTTTTTTTCGACAAATTTTCAACAGTGATTTGGAATACTAACGAAAATGAAAATTTCATATATACTTGCTTCTCGAGAATAATGTGAATAATGTCGAAAGTCTGCCACGAAAAATCTGCCAGAAGTTTTAAAAGCTGCCGAAAATCACAAACTTCAATAGTCTTGATCAAATTTCACTTCATTCTCTCTACCAGTTGTCTTCTAATAGTAACTTCTTTCTGCATATTTTACTTTTTACCAGTTTAATTTGAAAGAAGTGCATAATCTGAACAGTAATGTTAATTAATGAGTTTTGGTAATTTCAGTTTGAAATTTCTTCTGATATTTTATACTAACAGATGTTAATTTGTTCTTGTTCGTCTGTAAAATAAAATATAAACGCAGCAGGACAAACAATACTGTCTTTTTAATGTAAGAAAGATTAGATTTTTTTGCTCCTATTACTTTTTATTTGTAAAATTTGAAAACTTTTACTGAAAAAACGACTTTTTTCAAATTTTACATAGTTCTTAATTACGTAAATATTTATGATAGAATGATTTATTGGGAAGCAAACTGATCAAAAGGTGTCAGCACTGGGAGTTACCCTATAATTATTGTTTGTCAGTGAGAGATGATAGTGAGGCTGATGATAAGTGATCTGACAAAATGCGTACGAGCTTGTATTAGGATGATGGGCGACATCTTTCCTTTTTGATATATATTTTTTTTATTAAACTTCTATATATCCAATTTATTTTCCCGATAGAGAGTGAAGGATAAGTTCAGTAGATCGCATACCACAACTGTCACTCACTGTTATCAAAACTTAACCTCACTCAATATATACTATCTCTTTTTACCTTATCATGTTTTTAATCGATATTACTACTTTTCATTCGTTTAGAGCCATAGTTAAACTAGATTCTGAATATGCGAAAGTTCCTGCTGACTTCTGTTCCATCTGAAACATCGAGTATTAACCATATTTCCGTAATACTTATTTTTTCTATAATTTACCCTGAACATGATATTTTTAATATCCTAAAGAAGTGTTTGTTCGATTTATTTAGTTGTAAATTCCCATCGCTCATTATCAACTTTTCATTCAATCAAATTTATACTGTATTGTTTCAAATTGTTGCACAAAAAAATAATTTCGTCTTTATATATTAAAAAGAAACATTTCATTGATGGATTGCTCACTAATAAATATTTTGAATCAAATTATCTTTCAAATTATAGCAGATTACTGATTATAACACGTAGCAAACAAGATTTTGTATTAGATTCCCAATTTGCTTTTTTCTTAGGATCTTTGTTAACCCATTAATTTTGCTTCCAAAAATGGTTACAATGAGTAAGTGGTTAAGAGGCATTGCTTATATGGTAAAACAAAGCTTGAGAATAGATTAAAGGGAATATATTGATTCAAAAAATGTTAACATGAATAACTGGAATATTTGAAAAATTAAACATTTGGATAAAAGCTAAAGCTTAAGGCTATTATATATTTTACTCTTTCTGTTCTTAACATGAATAATTAATATCCATTTAAGGATGGCTTTCTATCCAATCCACTTCATCCTTATGGTCATAAACAAATTGTAATTCAAAAACATAATCTTGTTTATGTTAATTAGTCACATCTTTAACGGTTGTGATGTTAGAAGCGAAGTTTATATATATTTACTTTTCCGTCTACTTCCTTATTTTTGTCCTTTTATTTTTGGATACCAAATACCTTCGGGTTATACCTTTTCTTTCCTCAGTGAAGTTGAAATGTAAATATTTTCATTTTATCGAATTCTATTAATTGCTAACTTAATTTAATTTCCTTTATTATTACGCGTGTTCTGATTATTACGCGTTTGGATAAAAAAATCATCTCATTCAAATTGACACGGATACCACATAACAGGAAAATATTGGTGCCAGCAGATATTAAAAACCTATTGACAAACACATATGTTTATACTCGTATTATTGTTAGAAATATTTGAGAAACTGATCATTCTGTTCATTAAATGTGAATAATTTTGGAAAGTACAAGAAATAGTAACAAGTTAATGAATGATCAATCTTTTTCAAAAATGGAAATGAAATTGTGCACCATAAATGAAATGAAAATAAGGCGTTTTCAAATAGACTTAAATCCAGTAAACAACAATAACACAAACTTAAGTATTACTTGACTTTAAATCGGTTATTCAGCGACATGGAACAATGGTTTATCAGTTAACATTCATTGACGCTAAATACGAAATGCTTTAATTTAAAATTTAAAACTTTTGAATTTTTTGAAATTGAGAACTTTAATACTTCTTTTACATACTAGCAAAACTCGACGCTTAATTTGTAGTTACCAAAGATTTTTTACACTTGCTAATGAACTCAGGACCCTGAGAATGTCCTAACTATTTAGATGGATAGTGAAAAGCAAGAAAGGTTCTTACCATGTTGATGTCGTAAATCAAATTTCTGCAACATATGCTTTGACCTCTCCAAGACTAGCAAGAATAGTTTTCAGGTCGGTCAGGCAGCACACTTTGCTGCTTAAATGTCGTTTAAACTGTGCAGCTTTGATCTTACGTATCTGTAGCGCACAGTTCTCAAAATAAATCAATCAAAATTTTCTCAAAACGGTTACTTCAAAGGACTGATTTCGAATATAAATTTCATTTTAATCTTTTCAGAATCAATCCGTGCTTTAAATGTAAACTAATGCTCTTAATCCACAAAAGCAAGTGACTTGTGCCAACTA